TTGCAGTTTCCATGGTACTAGCCTACAGTTTACTAGATTAATTGAATTCAGTTTCATAGCTTGCTGTGGTGGATTTGAATTTATAAAACCTCTGAGTTTTTTTTGTACACAAACAGAAATTGCTGGAAAAAATCTCAGCAGGTCTGGAAGCATCTGTGGACAGAAAGCAGAGTTAATGTTTGGGGTCCAGTGACCCTTCTTCAGAACACTTCAGAGTTTTGTTTTTGTATTCCCTCACAGGATGTGTGCATTGCTGGCTGGCCAACATTTATTGCCCATACATAGTTGCTCTTGAGAAGGTGATGGTGAGCTGCTTCTTGAACTGCTGCAGTCCAATTCGTGGATGACAGAAAATAGGAGCAGGAATAAACCATCTGGCCCTTTGAACCTGCTCCACCATTCAATATGATCATGGCTGATCATCCAACTCGGGTATCTTGTTACCGCTACATCCCCATATCCTTTGATCCCTTTAGCCCTAATAAGTTTATCTAGTTACTTCTTTAAAACATTGAAGGTTTCAATCGCTTTCTGTGGCAGAGAATTCCACAGGCTCACCACTTTCTGGATGAAGGCATTCTCCTCATCACAGTCATAAATGGCCTATCCATATCATTAAACTGTGACCCCTGGCTCAGAGCTCACCAGTCATCATTTATCCAGTCTAGTCCTGTTAGAATTTTATATGTTTCAATGAGATAGCCCCTCGTTCGTCTAAACTCAAGTGAATATATTCCTAACCCATCCAGTCTCTCTTCAGCCCAGCAATCAGTCTGGCAAATCATTACATTCCCTCTAGAAGCAGAACATCTTCCTCACATCAGGAGACCAAAACTGTATGCAACACTCCAGGTGTGGTCTCACCAAGATCTTGTACAGTTGCAGTAAAACATCCCTGTTACTGTATTCAAATTGCAATGAAGGCCCACATACCATTTGCTGCCTTCGCCACTCACTGTACCTGCATGCTTACTTTCAATGAGTGGTGAAGGTCACCCAGACCACATAGCACTTTTCCCTTTCTGAATGGATTGCTATTCAGATAATAATCTGCCTTCTGCTTTGCTACCAAGGTGGATAACCTCACATTTATCTGCATAATACTTCATCTGCCATGCATTTGCTCACTCACTCAACTTGCTGAAATCACACTGAAGCATCTTTGCATCCTCCACACAGCTCAACCTCCCATTGAGGTTTGTGTTGTCTGTAAACTTGGAGAAGATATATTTAATTCCTCCTCTAAATCAAGGATAAATTATGTGAATAGCTGGGGCCTAAGCATTGATTCCTGCAGTACCCCACTAGCTGTTGCCTACCACTTGGAAAAAGACCTATTTATTCGTATGGTTTATTTGCCGTCAGCCAACCAGTTCTCTGTCCATGTCAATACATTACCCTCAATGCCAATGGCTTTAATTTTACATGCTAATCTCTTTTGTGGGACCTTATCAAAAGCCTTCTGAACGCCCATGTTACCACATCCAGTAGCTCCCCCACCCATCAACTCATGACGTTTCATCCTCCAAAAATTCAGTACATTTGTCAAGCATAATTCATGCTCAGTGGCGTACCAACCCAAATCAATCAGTGCCTCACCTGTGATAACAAGGTGTAGAGCTGGATGAACACAGCAGGCCAAGCAGCATCAGAGGAACAGGAAGGCTGACGTTTCGGGAAGGGTCTAGGCCCAAAACGTCAGCCTTTCTGCTCCTATGATGCTGCTTGGCCTGCTGTGTTCATCCAGCCCTGCACCTTGTTGTCTCGGATTCTCCAGCATCCGCAGTTCCTACTATCTCTCTTTCTCACTGAGGCCCATTTTTAGAAC